GTGAGGCAAAAGAGGAGAGAGTATTTTGATGGGTTGTGGTTAGCCCTGAGAGTGGAACTGATGTGAACCCTTGCAGTAAAATACAGCCTTTCGTTTTCAAAGTGAGTCCTGATCTGCAGGGATACCTGAGCAGAATAACATCAGGTAGGCTGCATAATCTCTTGTCTCCCCAAATAACATCTCACTTCACAATAAGAAGAGCTGCAATTCTTGACGGAGGAAGTCCAGGATTTGTGTATAACATGATGCCTATATTCTCCTTGCTGGGTTTTTTATCAGAAAGGCAGACATTTGCTTGCGAAAATGGTGTTGCATTTGCAGTATCTGGACCCACAAACTCCGCCTGTTTTCAGTCAATGGCCCTTTTACCTTGGTCATGAAATGATTTGTGGAAAACAAAAACTCCCGGAGCCCCCATTGCCAGTCACTGGTCTGTGCATCACCATGACGCCCCCCCACAGCTGGGGGAGCCGGCCAGGGGGACAAGCATGTACTCTATCTGATCTTGTATTTCTGAAAATTAAGAGGCAACTTTGCATAGAGACTGCAGAATTGCATTAGAAATTGCAGTGATTAGAAATTAACTGCTGGTGAGAACAGATCTTTCCTTGTCCCTGCAGGCCCGTGTCCTCAATGGGTTTTATGTTCTCACGTCAACGGTGCAGTCTGTGAGGGGAGAAAACACACACTGAGTTGGGTGAAAGGATCAGGTACAATGTTTGGTAATGGTATACGTAGCCTTTACTGAAAATACAAATGAGATTTCCTGCTTTACCGCCCTTAAAAATTATTTGGCTTATTCTGAAGTAGATAAAATAGCATCTATCTTGGTCTAAAGAGCTCCCAGCCTGCTCCCACTAAAACCAGTGATGCTTTACTGCACATCAGCGAAGATAATGACAGTATCTCATTATAAAAAATTACCATTTTGAGGCAGGAAGACCTTGGCCTCAGCTCCAATTTTCATTAAAAACTGAAGTTTTACTACTAGCAGTGAAAATCTTACGGGACTTGCAGTGCCTCCAAAGGCCAGATCCTGGCAATTTGGCCTGCGTGAAGTACCTCTCTGCTCTGTGTGATTATCTCCCTCATTTCAGTGGGAGCAATTACAGAAAGAAAAGTACAGCTCTGGTGAGGAAGGCCTGGTTGGGAGCCAGGCTGAAAGCCCCCCACACCGCTTGATTTTCTGCACGGCTTCTGCCAAAATCAGTGGTGTAACGGTGGAAACGAGACTGACTCTGCAGGCTGCTTTGTATGAGTCACCGTATATTAAAAAGCCAGCTGGATTCAAAATCACAGGTCAAACAAAACCTCTTTATTTAGCTAAGCAAACAAAAGGACAAAACACTTTTAAACCTGAAAAGTGAGTCTGTACATATTTTTATCAATGTAATGATCCACAGGTACTAAGTAACACCCAACGAAACACCAGAAGCTCTAATCTCCATTCTGCTGCTCTCATTTTAAAAGGATAAATCTTTTTAATGAGGTAAAAATAATTTCTGATACTGCAGCTGCTCCTAAGCTCTTCAGCTAGCTTTTGTGGTAGTCATTTAAAAGAAAAAAAGACAAGGGGAGAAATAATAAAAAAAATGTATTTTCTCCTTCTTGCTGCTTCATGACGGAGACATGTGGCTCAGAGGGCAAGAAGTGACCAAGCAGGTGTGATTCATTTCTGCACAGAGGCTGAGCACATCTGAAGCTCACCTTAACCCTTAACCCCTGCTGGATTTGTTTGTTTTGGGGACACTCTGAGTTTTGAGGTGTCTCCCCGTTGTCTGGTCCTCATCAAGTGATCTCCTCCCTGGGACCTGCTGCAGCTGAAAGCTCACAGAGCAGCTCCTGAGCTGCTGTGTTTTGCTCAGGAGTGCCACACAAAACTCCCCTGGGTGCAAAACCAACAGGCCTTTCACTGCCCTCTTGATGTTTAAGCTCCTTCCTCCGACTACAAAAAGCTCTCCCAGGGAAAACATTCCCCCAGGGGCTGTTTCATTTATCAAGGGCAATAACTCGGCATGGAAATAATCCAGCTGCTGCTGGGGCACCCGGAGAGCTGTAAGCGCTGACTCAGCACTGACAGTAGATGTGCAACTGGATCAGTGGAAGCAGGTCTGCTCGTGTCAGCTCTGTCTGCTGCAAAGAAGTGTCAGAAGGCAGCGGGAGGTGGAGCAATTGTC